CACCTGCAAGGGAGGAAACAACTTGGTATGCAGCTGATATCCTGTCTTCACTGCTGCCACACTTTTAAATACCTAACAAACTCCCTTAGTTCTGCAACCACTAAATTGTGGTTAGTCACATGGCAGTGTTCACTAATCTCACCCCATTGTTATTTCATGTAAACCCTTGTTCTCAGCAGTTTGAAAATGTTCTCTCAAACGTGGGTATCAAAATATAGCAAAATCCCCATATCAGTTTCATGAAAGTGATAAAATACCACCAGGTAGAATGTAGTGGTTTACTGACATTTCAGAGGTGCTTGCTGCCTCATCATCAGGGCAATGAGTGGTAAACTTCTACCAGATCTGTGATGATAACCAGATGACAGCCATCTTCCTATGCACTGCTGTGAGAACCTGCAATCTTGTTTAATATATCTCCACTGACAATAAGGGATGAAGTACAACCTGTAATTAATTAACTACTTCCTTAACTGTGCTTCCTTTGTAAAAAAATAATTTCTGAAGCTGTATTTGTTCCCATCTACATATTAACAATCATAAATCTTTTCACCATTATCTAACCTGTAATCTAACTATTGACAAATTGGCCAGGTAGCTTTGGGGGCCCTTGAGGCATCAAGGGCAATGTCAAAGCTCATCTGAAATTGTTGACATTGTATGGGCTGTGTAGTTAGAAGCTGGTTACATTCTTCTGGGGTATTCAGGGTCGTTAGGAAGCACATGCTTTGGACAGACGGATTGACCAGTCCATTCCTCAATCCTGAACCACCGATTTTAATCTCGTCATGGTCAGAGCTCTGCAGGTATTGCATAATGCACCTAACAATGGTCTGAGTTCTTCTCATGGCCATTGAGTATGGCCTAACTTGTTCCAAAGATTCAATATACAATTCTGAAGCTTCTATAACATTTTCAAAACACTGAGCATTTTACAGTGAAAAACTGTTAGTGCTACAGTTAGCGTCAAAGCTGGAATTCCAATCCGTCTACTTGTTCAACACAGAAATTATACTATATGGGGGGGTTGTCTCCATCCGCAAATATTCACTTACGTTTTTTCAGCAAGTAATGAAGAAATATAGGTAGAGGGGTTATACACGCGCTACTAATTTTACATTATAAATATTTGTTAGAAAATAATATTATGGCGTAAGATTTCTGGTTCAGTTAGCTACGGGAATGAAGTCCCAGAAGACTGATTACTTTATTATTACGGATATTGTGAATGTTATAGGTTATGGCATTTAACCTGACGGCCTCATCCGTGATTATATTAAAACGACCAAAGCGTAGCAAACAAAAACTACATGTTTTACACTTTCTCTTATTTATATTCTAAACGTTTGTTACCAGAGCCATGGAAAAATATAACTGCTCCAGTGGGCTGCTTGCTTGTTTGCTTTATAATTTTCAAAGGCTGTAACTTTGCATTCATAACTAGTAAATGTTTATAAACAATTTGTAACGCAGACTATTTACCAAAGCAGCCGACTACACAACTATGGATAAATTAATACCAATACCACGTGAGTCTGTAGTGCTGCAATCTTTTAATAAAAAGTGCAAGTGGAACTTTGCGCGGTAGTTTGTACAATTTGGTTATGTGAAAGTTGTGGTAAGCAGTTCGTTTATTTCAAAGGTATGTTCAGGACAGTAGTTTTTTTTAAACTGAAATATATGCAGTTTTGAATTGGCATTTGTATTACCTTATAAAAATGTGCTCTGTAATTCAGGTAATATTCTGTTGGCTTCTGATCTAGCCTCTAGAGTTAAACTATTTTTTTGGTCTTCATTTGTAGTTGATTTATGTGAGGGCAGTATTAATTAGAGTTGATCAGTTACCACGAATGTGTTTACTGTGAAGGGATCAAATTATTCTAGACAGCAATAAAAGTTTAAATCATGACATAAAAATATTTAAGACAGTTTTGTAAGGTTATATTTTATCTCACTCCTGTTTTACAGAAGAATTTTACTTCAATTGGAACTTATATTTGTCAGTTTTTGTTGGCCTTTTGTGTTGTGATGCCATGTGGACTTGTAGGCAGCTTAGTTTCTGTTTTTCTGTGTTTTATCTTCAACTATCAAATTTAGAATGTACAGAACATACTGCAGGCTGAGGAAATCTCTGATAGGTGTGTGATGGTTGTGGGTATTTTACTTTTCTGAGAAACACATTTTTATGCATGCAGGTGAGTATTACATAACTATAAAGTATAGTGACACTGAAAAATATATAACAGATTATGGAAATATTGATTACTGCTTCTTGTAAACATATACAAGTAGTATGTACACATACTTTTCCAAAGTTTGTGATATGATCTGCTTAATTTTTAGATTGTTGCAGTTTGCTCATGATGGTGGCAGGTATATCTGTGAGCCTGGATTCATCTGAGGATGAGGATGTTGTTGGAAAAAGGAGGTCTACCAGACAGAAGTTTGTGGAGAGTGAGGATGAGGCAACTGATGACTCAAACATTATTTTAAAAGCATTCAATCACATTGACAGCAATGTTGAACCTGATAGAGAACCATCAAAAGATCCCAGATGTGGCTCCATAGTTGTGAAGGAGATGCCATTTGGTGAAGTGGACACATTCAAGAAGAAATGGAAGATTTTGCTTGACAGTGACTGCAGCTCAGATGAAGAAACCCCCAAGACTCACTTGAATATATCAAAGAATGCTGATGAGTCTGAAGAGAATGTGGGGCACAATTCACAGTCTCACTTCTCTCTGATGAAAGAGAGTGATTTGTATGATGCAGAGGAATCTGAAGATGAGGCAACCCCCAGACACAGCGCGGGAAACAGTCTGCAGTCTCACTTCAGTGTGGAAAAGAGGGAACTGTACGATGCAAATGGCTCTGAAGATGAAGTGACTCTCAAATCAAAGTCCAAAAGGAGTTCCAAATCGAAAGGCAGATGTGTATCTGAGAGAAGGAGCAAGGTGAGTTTGCCTCTGTTTTAATCTAGTTTCTTTATCCAAGAAGCATCTGTTGCTGTGTATGCTTAACATTAAATGAACTGGGAGTCAACTACAAAGACTTGAGATTCTCACAGCAGTGAAGATGTCAATTTTGTTGTCTGGATTTAATGCCATGTATCTTATAGGTTCATTTCATTATTTTGGAGGAACATGTTCAACCATGATACATTTCTTCAAAACATTTGGTAACCAAATAGGATTTGAGGTTTTCACATCAGTGAGTATGAAGATGGCCACCTATATGATTACATGGCAATGCAGCCAAGAAGACAACAATGAAGCTTCAACCATTAGATTCCACTATTCATTTATTAAGTTCATGCTGCTCTATTAAGTGTGTGATTAATGTGCACAAATATGCACATTCCATCAGTAATTGTTGGAGAATCAAAAGTATGGGTGCCAACCAACTGGGGGAGGACAGATGAATTTAAATTAACAATATCTCTGGCTTCTGTAATTATTTTGATTTGAAAGAAGTCCTGTCAGAATTGGTAGTTAAATGGTTTCCTTCTTTGTTGTACGTGGTAAGTCAGAAGCATTGCAGCAGATCCATAGCGAGACACAGCGCTTGGTACGGGAGTCGCGCGTGTCCCTGCCCTACCACAAACCGTGCCAACGCAGCCTTGCAGAATTTCTGCAGCGCCGCCACACCTCAGCATGCAGTGCTGCACCACTCAAGATATCTGCAAATGACCTTGGCCAAGTGTGGTGAGTGCTGTGATGACACTGCTGGGCTGAGTGGTTGGTTGTGATATCAAACCAAGTGACCCAATTTATGTGTTGCAGGAATGAGCTGGAACACAGAGAGAAAGATGTAGAGGAGTTCTACAAGTCTGATTCAGATGAAAGTGTTGCCGATATGTGCAGTCCTTATGCCTCCAGAGACGGTAGTGATAATACCGGCAATTATACTGTTACTACCGGTGCTTCTACCAAAATATTGATCAATAATTCTGTTAGCGAAATAGGTACTTCTAACAGTACTAACAGTTCAGCAGTTATCAGTTCTGATGACAGTAAAATACTGATTCCTGGCATCAGCGGTCGTGCTGACGCACCCAGTGGTGAGGCTGGTGTTTCTTCCAGTAATACTGATATATACATCGAAGACACTGGTGCTGGTAGCAGTGTTCCAAATGTTGAAACTAAGAGCCTCAGTAGCTCACAGGCAGCAGACAATAACCGTGAAGTAGAACTTGGACAGAATCAGATTGCAGAAGACAGTTCTAACTTCCATCTGCATTACAGTGAGTCATGCAGTGAGGACATGAGGGAGCCTGCACTGGTAACAAATTCTGCCTTGCATGATGATGAAAGCAACGCTTTGGACATCCGTCTGGAAGCAGCAAATACTGAGGACCTGGCTCTTCACTACACAGAGTCTTCTGTGCCAGGTGGTGAGGAAGAACTCCAGAAGCAGGAGAAAACTACATCATGGGAGAATCAACATCTGCATTTGCCAGATGGTGATGGTGATGACAACAAGGCAAAAACAGTGCTGCAGGGCCTCGCTCGGAGAAGTTTGCCTGGTCTGGGGGACGTCTCAAAGTTGAAGCCGCAACTTAGTGGGGCTCCCAACGGGGTGATAGAACTTGACGATGAAGAGCCGGCCCTTGCAGGAGTGGTGAAACTGGTGGAGCGCTACATGAAACATTCTGCAGCGAAGAAGCCTGCTGAGAAGAGGCACACTGTAGAAGTCGGGTGTGTGAGTGCTGAGAAGGGCGTAGATGGGATTGGAAATATACACAGAGATGTGGTGAAGGTTGTGCTGGGGAGTGAGGAGGCCCAAGATGACCCTGCGTTGGCCAAGCCTGGGGCGAAGCTGCGGCGGCTGAAAGAGGAACTCCAGCTGCAGATAGCGCAGCGCAGGGCAGATGAGTGGCACAGGCACCTTCAGGAGCAAGGACCGGACATTGAAGAGGAGGGGAATGAGAAAGAAGGTGAGATTTGCCATTATGGTGTTGGCCCAGTTCTACTGTAAGAGGGAAATAATACTGAGTAAGGATAATGAAGTGTTGGAACGAATCGGAAATGGCTAAATTGGATCATAGCAGACCTATCAAATCTTGCAGGAGTGGTTAAACATAGGACAAGTAAAACAGTGCACAATATAGGACTGGAAATAAAATTTAATCTCCAGTCCATAAAATTATGACCAGTGCTAGGTATTGTCGTCGTGTTAAAACGTGTATTTCCTATTAACACTTTAACATGTGTAGTTAAGTTAGAACATGTTTTGGCATAATGTACCATCATCATCGTTGCCTCACACTATATCAGCTTTGTTAGTATAAAAACGTGATGTTCACATAACATGACAGAATCTTATGCAGCAGTTAACTGTAGGTTTAAATGCCTTAATCGTGACACCAGACGTCAAGCCTTGTTAAGTTGGTTAAGGTGGTGTTCAAGGAGGATTTAGCTTTGGCTGCTCCCTCACCTGTGTGTAGTATAGTTGCATACATTCTAGACTGCGTTAGATGATCTGAATCCCTGGCATCCATTTGAATAGGTCCCAGCTGAAAGTAATGGTCCTGCTTGGAATTGAACCCTGGTCATTCAGCCCATAGGTAATAATTTACTGTATCAGCAAACAGCAAACCTGTTTTCTTGAAGAAAGCAAAGAAGCATGTATCATAGGCACGGAAGTTTCAACGTGCAGTGTTTTCTTGTAGTGTCGACAGCCCTAGAGCTCTGATGTCATGTGCCTGATTTCAGACGACCTGTCGGACTGTGGAGGCCTGTTGGATGACTTGGAGACGGAAACAACAGATGCAGAGACAGAGAGCGAGGAAGAGGAAGATATTGTACTTGTGGAGAAGAAGAGGGTGAAAAGTGCATTCTTGGATGACGAGGCAGAAGTGTCTGATGATGATGAGACATCTGGTGATGATGAAGATGAGGTATCGGAGGGTGTGGCAAATGATATGCTAGAGGTAGCTGATACGAGGGTGAAGAGCACATTCAGAGACGACAAGGCAGATGTGCGTGGTGATAGCAGTAACGAAGATGACATGTTACCAGCTGGTGAGCAGAAGATTTTTTTGTTGTAATAGGAGGAGGAAGGAACGTGACACATATCTGGAAATTAAGTTTATCATTGAACACGTCTCAGTCTATTGTATTGGTTGTTCAGGGTCTCTTCTACTGCCATGAACCTAAGCCCACTGCCATTTAAAGGCTGAACTGACAAAAAATAAATAATATACTTAATTTTAAAAAGTAGAATAAGATTTCTTTATATTATAATTTTTCAGAACATTATATTGACGTTTTTGCGAGACTTCACTGCCGTGGCGTACTTCAAATGCAGGATTGAATGCTGCACTCTGTGGTCACTGCAGATGTGATGGTTCCATATAATTTTCTTAAATCCAATTTCTGTAGTGGGATTATGTCCTACTATTTTCTTCTGGCCGTGTTAGAGTTCTTTGCTTTTTTTTTTGAGAATAAAGGGTGTTTTATATTAAATCACAGTATAATGACTTGTTTGACTGCATCTGTAAGATTATCAGCACTGCTTTGTTTGTTCAGCAAACATAGAAGAGGCACTTAGTACCTCTCCGAGGAAGACGATGCTGGAACGAGCGAAAACGTTTGACTTGTTCGCATCTCAAGATGGTGGTGGTGAGTGCGTTGCTTTAGCAGTCATTATAATCTTGGGAGCAGGTTAGATGTACACAGAGCATTGAAGCTTCTTTTGGTTTGAACAGATGTCAGAACTGAGATTTAGACTGGGGTAATGTGGGTGCGTACAGAACGATTAGCAACTATAATGGCCCATAATTCAGGAAAATTGTGTCTTCTGGAAGGTATGTCAGTGTTGAACAGAAACAGTTAATCTAATACTTCCCTACGATTGTCTGTTCTGTAGAACCGGACCGCGGTGTATGGTGTCAAGTTTTTCATCTGAGAACTTCTGAGATGGCAGCAATGTCTTTAAAGTATATGATGGTTGTTAAACTCATATTGTTTACTGTAAAACAACGTGGTGGCCGTATAGTATGCAGCTTCCATTTTTGCCCACTAACCAATGTAGGACATAAACGTTCTTAGGCTTATAAAATGAGTGTTGCAGGACTTGGGGATTCTGTCTCCATTTCAGCTGATGGACAAAATTAAATCTCTTCAAGGGTTAGAGGTCGTACATCTTGAAATTCCTGTATGTGGTATCAGACTTGTGTTTCATGTGTAGGATGGATGCTTCTGTTGGTGCAACAAAAATGGCAAGCTCAATCATGTTAGGCTGCCATTAATTTTTCAGGAGATTCAGATCTGGATACAATCCCACCATACCAGCCCCATGGGGCAATGAGAAAACAGACCACACCAATTGTGGACCGCAAGAAACACATCCTCGACCTCATCTCGCCAGTTTCCAACCTGACGTCCCTCAGGGACTCGCCTTCTACGCAGGTGAGTTTAATGACATGCTGCGTGAAACTTTTTAAGATGTTGCTGTTTGTGCTAATGTGACTTGAAAATCATGTTGCAGTCCCCACTCACTGGTCAGGTGTTCGGCGGCACACTGGCTGGCATGTCGAAGAAATTGTTTGCGGAACCTGATGTGCCAAGCACACAGGACAACATGGAGGAGCTGCTGGGACTCTGTTCGGGTCAGTTCACAGGTTAGTTTGTGGGGTACTTACCAGGTTTATCATCGGTGAGCAGTGCGTGGGTTGATATGTCTGTCTGTGTGATGCTGTATCAGCTTCACATGGGTCTTGGATGGCCTAAGAAAAACTAAGCTAAGTTGAGGCTACAGTCAGCCTGTTTTGGCAAGAGGGAAGCACATGGTTTAATGGTCCTGAGTTTTACAGGGGACATTGGTGTTCTGGTGGATCCTACGATGGAAACAGGCTTGGAGGAGGAGCTGTTAGGTCTGTGCTCTGGCAAGTTCATCTCTCAGCCTGTGAACCTGCGCAGCCTTGAGAAGGATGAGGAGCGGTCTCAGCCATCTGAAAGCCCACCAGAGTGAGTGCACTGTCATGGAAATGTGCATGTCATCACGCATTGCCTTGCTTGACGTGCTCTGTTTCCTTTACCTTGTTTTGCCAACACATCCTCGGGTTATTTGGAGTGTTTTGCGCCCAAGCATTTGCTTGATAATGGTGATTTTCTTGTGGCACAGCTCCTAACCAGAAATAAGTTATGTGGCACACATTTTACTATGCTGAATAAAGTACTTTGATAAAATTTAATATTGAGCCTGTGCTGAAAATATATTGTAATTTTTGTCTAAATTGGACAAAAAGAAATTGTCAAGAAATGTCCACTAAACTGAAAATTGCTTCTGATTGCTGTCACTCTTCTTCATCATAATGCTTATGTATAATGTAATCTTCAGGTCTGCCCTGGCACTACACTCTGCTGATGACGAGGAAGACGAAGTGGTAGAGATTAAAGCTCGCAAGAGGCACAGGAAGTTGGACTTTTCAGGTGAAGGCCCGTCAGAATTGCTGTTTTATGTCCAACTTATTTCTCTTAGATTTATTTGGATCTTAGCCTCTCAGTTAATCCTCTCTCAGCGGGCTATTCCTTACCTTACCTACCTCAAGACAACATTTCAGGAACTCATTTACCCAGATTTCTGAGTGTTTTGTCCAGCATCTTTGACTTAAGAGCGGACCTGTCAAGTTGCTTGTCATTTTATGAATCTTGGGTGGGTTCAGACTTCCTTGGTGCCATAGACAAGTTGCTAGTATTTGGTACGCTGTACGTAACCCCAGTGAAAAGAATATACATGTGGAGTCCTGCATCACGTTGCTGTTTTATGGATGAACTTGTGTCTTTCTGCAGATGAGGAGTCAGATATTGAGAGTGAAGTGACCAGTGACCTGCCAGATGTCAGTGAAACGAGAGTTGTCGACTATGACTCGGAGGAGAATGAGGTGGTGGACCCTCGAAAGCCACGGGAAAATGCAGTGGCAGAGTTCTTTGAGGATGAGGCAGAGCTGTCGGAATCTGAGTGGGACAGTGCTGATGAAGATGAGCAGGGTTTGGACACCATGGAGCTGGAGGATGGAGATGCCGAGGTGCTGGACCAGCACAAAGTGAAGGAGCAGCTTGACAGAATATACATGTGAGTGTGCGTGTGATGTGTGTGGCCCACTGAGGTACACTCACGAGACTGATATCTTCTTACTTGTTCAGGCGTCGCTTGCTCGATGAGGACCGTCAGGAGGTGCGCCTGCTGCAGGAGATACTGCTAGAGGATGGCGAGCTGCATTCAGAAGGCGGTGGACGCGAACGCAAGTTCCGCTGGAGGAACACGAGTAAGTGACAGAATTTCGTACGTTAAACAAATTCTCCATTTTGCATTCAGAAGATACAGAACAAATTGAAACACTGTTTAACTCCACTCTTATGGCTGTATTCCTTATTGAAAATGCAGAGTTTGATATCTGAACGGTACTGCAGATTGGATAGGCAGCCGTCATAAGAACGCGCTGCTTTCCCCCTGCTGACTTAAGTTTGGTGTCTGTTCAGATAATGTGGATGATGGTGAACTGCATCATCAGGATTCAGACAACGAGGGTGTGGAGGAAGTTGAGATTGAAGATGAGGAGCTGTGGCGCCGCATGAGACATGAGCGCGAGATATTCCTGCAGCAACAGGTGTGAACTAAGAGACAGGAGCCAAAGAACATGTCTCCATTTGCATGCATGCATCGTTAATTTACCAGGTTCCAAGGTTACAGACTGGGTTAAGTTTGTTGCTGTTTGTGCATTGCCTCATAGTGCAAGAATTGCCATGCTGTTTCATAAAATTGGTATAAGACTTTAAGGGAAACTTTTGTATTGAAAGAACTGAAGAAAACCATAAGAATATCAGTCTGTGGCCAAGACTTCAACCCAGGTCCTGTTGAATACAGAGCAGGTACCTAACCACCATGCTGTTGTGTCTGGAGTGAAGTGAGTATCTGCGCTATATGGGACGTCTTAAATGTAGGGAACAGAGCAGTCAGATTATTGACTTAAATAATACCGGATACGGATTCCATCGTAGAAAATTTGTCGCATTGATTAAATTATAATTTGTAGGTTTATAAATTTTGCTTATAGATAAAGTCAGGGTCACGCGTGGATGGCGTGTTGAGTGATGAGTTAGACAGTCAGCTGCTCAAGCTGGGATGGGCTGCACTGAAGAGGATCAACTCGCAGGATCCAGCAGATCGACCTGGGTCCATCAGAGAAACCATGTTGGACATCCTCGTGTCACCTGATACCAAGCGTCCGTTCAAGTTGCTGGTGAGCCTTATGTTTCATTTCACATAGGGGAGATTGCAGCCTTAGTAGGAGGGCTGACTGGCTGAGGAGAACCACGACAAGATACATGCCTCTGGTCCACCACTGTAAAGTGGTCGCAACAGTACAGAGAAATTCGATTAAAAGCGAGTAATCTCTGTTTTCAGCGCATGTTTGTTGGTGTGCCTGCAAACTTGTCACCCTTTGAGACTGAAGTAATTAGGAATCATTTTTTGAAGTGATTGTTTTGTGAACAATTAAAAAAGGTGCACCCCCCACCCCATGGTCACAGAAATAAACACGTAAAAGATTTGCTAGCATTAACCTGCACAAGCCTGAAAAATTATCACTTTATGCTCGTTGGAGATTAAGAGTGAGGTGACTGTTCTTGTGCAGACAAAACGTGGGTCCTTCCTGGCTCGAGGTGAGAATGCGCTGGCGAGGATAGCGGACGTGACTCGGACTTCCGCAGGCGGTCCTTCTGTGGGACCAAAAAACTCGCGTAACTTTGTGTTTGCGACTGTGAGTCCAGAGAAGGCGGAGGAGAGCGGCGGCGCGGATTTGGCGTCCGCGCAGGTAGGTCGACGGATTGTCGCCTTTCTCTTCATAGGGTGGGATTCTGTTTACTCCCGGAGCAAAACTACATTCACCAACTTCTGTGTTCCCTGCACCTGACTTGAAAGCTCCACCATCCAGTTTGCTTACTACGTCATTTCTGCAGAGACAGTTTGGCGAAAGTTGCGAAACATTGTATTTATCATTCCACTTTTGTTAATGTTATTTGTGCATCTTCAGGGTAGAAGTGAGTCAAGTTGGAAGGTGGGTTAGTCATATATGGGACGGTTTCCTATGGGAATGGAATAAAGGCCCTGAAAGGGACAATTTAAAAGGAGGATCTCCAAAGAGGCCCTGTGCAGATTGCGTCCAGGGCAAAGCGGAGCCGAATCGCAGGCCGAGCGGGAGATACGTGGGCATTAGGAATAGGGATACAGGAAGAGTGGAGGAATAGCAAGGGACGAAGGACAACTTGCGTGGAGAGTACTTGTAAAGATCATGGGCAGGGGAAGTGCGCTGTTGTTGGGTTGTAAGACTTTCACATTTCACGCGGTTTGTCCGAAAACTGAGAGTCTCCATTCGTCTGTCTCTGTCTTCCTGCCTGCAGCTTCTCCCCTGCCGCCTCCTCCTCCTCCTCCTCCTGTTTCTTCCGTCCACGTCGTAGTTTTCGCGGCATGTTGGTCGTGCTTGATTGTCTCTTCGAGCATTTTCATGTTTGAAACCTTTGGGACTATTTCTTTCTTGATTTTTTAGTGTTTCCCCAGACATTTCCATTTCCAGAGTGCATCTCTCACTAATTAGAAAAATGATCCTGCATTTTTTTATTCTTTATCCACTGTATCTAGAGGCCTTCTCCACCCACAACCTAATCTTGTGCCACGCTGTTGTGACAAGGTACCCACTTGACATGATTCTGGTTTCATTATGTTTTATAAATTGGGTGGTCTTTACAACAAGGAAAGAAAGTGGCAGCAGGCGTTCAGCGCAGTCAGTGTCCTTGGTGTCTTACGAGGTATTTTGTGATCGCAGCCACAGGTGCAGGGTTTAAATCAGTTTTTTAATCTTTGTCCAGTTATTGAACAATGTTTGTAGTTTGTGTTCTTGTGATGCGGTTATCCAAGAGACTGACCGGTTGATGTCGCATGTTTTAGACAAAGAAGCGAAAGCAGGACCTGCAGGTGACACCGCGTGTTGTGAAGAGACTGCGCATCTCAGATGAGCACTCACGAGGACGCAAATTGCTGGACCTTCTCATGTGAGACTTCCTGAATTAAGTTGTGTGGTGGGGGAGAGAATTCTTGATTATTTTGATAGCAGACTCGACTGACGTCTAGAAAATTTGATGAACAGTTAGTTATTAGTTGTTTGGCTGTGGAAACAAACATGGTCCCTCTTTGACGCACTCATTCTAGTGCACGTCCTTTATTGGATGTGAAGTTTTAAGTTCGTAATTGAAAGCGTGGCCTTGTTAAATGTTGTATTTTATTGCAGTGGGTTCCTTACCATAAAATGTAATTCAATCCAATGTTTTCTTAGTAATTTATTCAGTGTGTGTGCTTATATTTATAATTTATCTTCCATTCAACATTATTAGCCGGTCGTCTGAAAGCAGCGTGCGTTAAATATTTATATCTTGACGTAATGAGCACGAATCGAACGCCGCGAGATTCCTCTCGCCTTGCAAGTCCTGTCTGCTGCTGCTTACAGCACTTTCAGCCACTGGGAGTCGGTCGTTCGGCTCCGTCAGCTCTCGGAGAGAGCAGAATCAGTACTATCATGTTGTACTGCACGATGCAATCGTCCCACCTGTTGAAATGGAAATGGAACTGCGCAGAAGATTTTAGTTGTCAGTAAAGCAGTGCCAGAAAGGTAACGTTACGGACATTGATTCTGAAGCGTGTGTGGGTAGTTGTTGTATAATTGCAGTGCCTGCCGTGGATGGCCATTCATAGAAGATGAGCCGACTGTCAGCTCTCATCTTGTAGAGCAACGGCTCAGGTAAACTTTGACCCGAGGACAAGTAGTTCTAAGCACAAGAAAGAGATGATTTCTGGCGTGGAGGTTTTTTGTGCCAAAGAAGCAGGCGTGCTGATTCGTGAGGAGACGACAGACCGTCGGAAGTTGCCAGACTGTCTGTTTTAAGACGCGGTGGATGGGTCGCTGATAATTGCGTTCTTTCTTAATACAAGGTGCCGTGCCGTGCCGGTCGCTCCAGCAGTTTGAAAGTCTTAGTAGACGGCATCAGTAAATCTCTCTATACTGTCACCGCGGTTCGTTTTCAGGTAATATGAAGGTAAATGTGTGGGGATTGTTCAAGTGTCGACTTTGACGCCTGAAGGAAAATACACGCACAGAATGTTTTTTAATAAGGTGCTTGTTTTTTGAGTCGTAAAGTACTGACGTGATAACGCCGCACGCTTCTGACGTTCGGTTTGTATATTTCTTGTTATAAAAGTGTCTGCTGTTTTTATGTGGTGATGGACTCCGGCCCGGCAGCTACCATATTGAGACGAGCCCTTACGGCCTGGTGATTATGGATCCAGTATGGCTCAGGTTACAGAATTTGTTTGTTGTAAAGTAATTAGTGGATCGTTTGGACCCGAGAGACAAGAATAAAAATAATTTATTTTAAAACAATTTATACATATAGTGGCCATGCAGGAACTTCATTCTGGGTGTATTAATGAATATTTTAAGCATCCATTCACATACATTATTTTCTTGAAATTATTTGATTTTGTCAAGATATGAATGTGGAAGGTTCTACATTTATGGGAGCTTTATTATTAATTAGAACAGATATTATTTACACCAGCATTGATTGGAGGCTTTGGTAATTGAAAGTAGGTTATACTGGAAAAGTATTTTCAAAGACTTGATTAATACGCAGTTAATCGAGAGGAAATGTTACAATTTTTCACGAAACTTTTAAAGGTTAGTACGAATTGTGGTGATCATATGTTCTCAGTACTGTTCATTCATTCTTATATGGGAATTGTCTTCGGTTAGTTCAGAATTCATTGCAAACGGCTTGAGTAAATTTCATGGCATTTCGAAATGATCGCACCCACGCACCATCTTCGTTCAGTCACAGTCAAAAGATTAATAAACAACCAAACCGGAAATGTCTCGCTCACAAGTTTCTTTTCAGTGATTCCCAGCAGGAAGTGGACCCAATTGGCGGTAATAATGGTGATGTTTTCATAACGATGCTACGTTGGTGATCTCGGTTGTGAAAGTGCGTCTTGTTTAAATATATTAGAATTTTGTGAGAATGTGATAATTGTGCTCATCTTCCCAAAGACACATCCAGTCAGCCATGGGGAAAAGTAAGTTTATTTTTAATATTTTACAAAGAAATCTAACCTTAAATTTCTGTAGCTTTCACTGTTTCTGCATAGAGTGCAGTGAATACGTAATAAGAATGACTGATATTGTAGCTACTGTCCATTGTCTGTGATTTGTAATAATTCTAAAAGTCTCTACGTTTTGAAGACTCGCGTTGTCTTCGTGTTCAGGTAACAACATGAGAAAGGGCATTGTCAATGGGAGGTAATCACTAACCTATCGTACCATAAAAGCGGCAGGTCGCGCAGGTTATGGTCCATCTGAGCGGTTTCGGGCTTTCCCACTAGCTCATTTCACATTATTATTAAATGTCCTATAATTGCTGTAACGACGACCATATTCATGTGGGATATTGTGGATAATTAACCAACTCCGTAGATCAGTGTCCTTGAGAAGCTAATAGTTGAGCCCGCCACCGTTCGAATCTAATCCCTACCCCAAACCTGATTTACCTAAGACCGATTTTAAAATTATACTCACGCCTTAGTGTTCAGACGTATAATTGTTTACGTTCATGGACTTTTAGGCTCCATTCGAGGTTTCGTTTGAACAAGATTTAATCTGCCAAACGAGTTTCGTTGGTAGGCTATACGTAATTCTACGAAAATACTGTGTAATACTTCTCTTCTGAGTAAATCACAGGTCTCTTGAAGTTTATTTTGTGGCTTCAAGATGTAATAAGTATTGTAACGGTTTGCAATTCGTCTGAACTTCTCAGAAATGCCTTTGATGTGTGGGATAACCAGCATCAGATTGCCTCTTACGTTTCTGTAGGATTTTGTGCCTTTGATAGAGACGAAGATGATGCGGATATTCTTTTCCCGAAAGGAAGTTTTCGTTTGTGTAGGTTCAG